AAGGTCTAAATGACAGCAATAAGCTATTAGTTGAAGAAAGAATAACATTTAAAAAACCTTTTATTCGAATTAATGTTTGACAGTTGCATTCCTTGAGAAATAATATATATAAAATTTTTTTTCAAATATAATCTCTTTTCATTTACAGTCTAAGCATCTAGGAATAAGTATGTTTTGCTCAACATGTTTGGAAAACACTCAAAATAATTTCATCTTCAGTTATGAGGACAAAATACACAGATGAACCAAAGTCTTGGTGCCAAGGCACCACCATAATTTTTATTGATTGTGTGCATGCAGCTAACTTATTAATTTGACAAACCTTTCTTAGATTCTCAAATAACTCAAGCTCCCCCTCAAAATTTTCTGGAGTTTCACTGTAGTGATCCAAAATGAAATCCTGAAAATATATAGCACAATAAGACTGGTTACCTTTTTAATACCTAGTGATGCTGAACACTACCTGTAGTGAGCATGTTATTTTGTATCTTCATCACATTAAGTGATTTAAGCCCTCCCCCCCTCCTAGATGTAAACCCTCCATTTGTCTGCTTGCTAAGAGGAAAAGGTGTATAATCCAAGAATTTAAGCTAGGATTTCAGTTAAAGTTAACTCTAAACCCCTCCTTGATGTCTATCCTGATAATAAAAAGGATTTAGGTCAAGAGATTGTTTGAAACATTTACTGTACCTGGCTCAAACTAAATGTATTCAGAGTAGAAAAGAAACCTGCATACCTTAAACTGTGATTTAAAATCGAGTTCTTTTGTTTCCCTGAGACCAACAGCAATCAAAGGAATCTGGTGCTCTACAGATCTTTATTACATATCAAAACAACACCAGTAAAAAATGAATAACAAATGAACAAACAGAAGTATTGCTACCTATATAAATAATACTGGTATCACGTTTTGGGAAATGAAAGAAAGGCATAAAAGATGGTCAAATCTGCACCAAGCCTTGGGAAATCGCCCCAACTTGGCTTTCATTAATGGTTCAGTTTTGTCTGTTGGAGAAAAAGTAATTTTATTCGCAGATCACACAACCATCTTTCCAAAGATTGAACTGAGATTTTATCATCTTTTTCTCTGACTTGCATACAGGAATTTTCCTTTTCCAATTCCTTATAAGAAAGCAAGGACTCAACTGTCCCAGTAACAAATAAATGAACAAATTTCTCTCTAAAACAGACCCAAAAGACTTTAACTGATGAATTTGAGAATTCACCTGTCAAACTGATAAACATCCAACGTGCTGTTGATTCCTTCCAGTTCTTCTTTCAACAAGTCCAACTGGGAATTAGCAAAACTCAACTCTGTTTTGGCAGCAAGCTTTGTTTTGCGATCATTTGTTATCCTTAAAAAAAAAACAAATATATATATATATATACATAAGTTAAAGAATTCAAGAGGACGCATCAATTCTCTGTGACTCTGAGTTTTGCGCCTAGGCACTTGTCAGACTCGTCAGACAGAACTTTTCTATATATATGAATTATATACAAATTAATTTGATCAGTTTTATGATCAGCTTTATAACATTATTCAGTTAATAAAATATTCCAACCTTTCAAAGTCCCATGAGGCTGGCTATTTATTGATGCTATGATGGAAGTAAGTTTTCTAGTGTACTTGTACCAAGTTGCAAGTATCTTGAGAGATAATGCCCAAAATTAAAAGATTGTACAAATGGCTGACAGTTTAAGAAGAGGTGTGATTTAATGGGAGAGGTTTACTTGCCTCATAACCATCCATCATATTCTCCTATTTTCTTATTTTGTTTTATTAAGATCATAATTGTAATAAAGGAAAACAGAAAACATGTTTTAACATAAAAGAAAACAAAGAGTAGATCAAAGAAAATCCATATATGCTAGACTATGAGTAGTCCCTGTTTTCACATGAAGACTGAAGACTGTCACATGAGTAAAAAGGGTCAGTGAAAAAAAAATTAGTGTGCCTTACTTCCAGAGTTCTGCACCCTAAGAATTCTACAATCATTTTTTTTACCTTTTTTCAACTCAAGCACCAGACTTTGCTGAAAAAGAGGGACTAGTTGCAATCTATAAGCACATACTCATGAACCTCTGTTACTTAAATTAATCCATTCTTTGAGTGCCAGATTGTCTCTAAAGACATGACTATAACAGTAGATGCCTGAAAACTGAAAATTTACACAGGCATTTTTTATAAGTTTCCAGAGAAAGATTTGAAGAAAAACCAATATTTCATCAGAATTTTTCCTCTTTTTCAAATTGAATTTTCACTTTAAGTTTATTTCAGATTACCGGTAAACATTTTTTTGTAACGTGAGGGTCATGACTATAATAGCTTACATTTTTACACTGGAAATGAAAATTGGTCTGCAGGAAAAAGCTGAAATTGGATCAAAGTTTTTGATTGCTAATATCACAGTAGACTGGTATATAAATATTGTTACAGTTTATTTTTATCTCACATAAAAACAAAACTCTTTTCATCTTATTTTCATTTTATGGCACTACACTCAGACCAAGCAAAGGTCAAATCAGACCATAATTACACCTGATACAAACTGTCATGAGAGTTGATGATAGTTTCAACTATCACGCGGTTCATGCACGTTTATGCACTATCATCATTTATCATCAACTATCAACTTATCATCAACTATCAGGTAGTTTGGACATGTTCAAATTCCACATCATAGTTGATGATAGTTTTTGCCATTTGAACAAGCAGATGATAGTGAATGATAGTTTTCCAGTCAGAAGTATTGCCAAAAAGGGGCTCAAACTGAAATGGCAAATGGTAAAATGACTACAATAGCCAATTATGATGACCATTTGAACAGGGCTTTAATCCTCAATATTAATTTTATTCCCTTATAATTTTATTAAAATTATTTGTGGACTATGAAATCAAACATTAAGTAATACCAAGGAAAGAAACTACAGCGTAAAAGATATACCATCAAAACACATACTTGAAATTTTCATTAAATCTTTCATACTTCAACGGATTAAAGCCGTTGAGAGGATTATTTATTTCTCAGTCTGTGGCTCATGACGCAATGTGAAATAATTGAATTAAATATATCGCATGGATCAGTATTATTGTTGTTAACGTAATTTACATGACTAAATTGAAAGTCTTTATTATAATATTAAATAGATGCCGTAATTCACTTGATCAAGTTGTTACAGAATCTGCATTCTGTGAGCTTAATCAATTTTGCATGCTGCGGTTGACTCTTTCTAGAAAAAAGGCTTACAATATTGTCATTGTTATATATTCAACGGATTATGAAACACACAAGTCAATTAGTAGAAAACTAAAGAAAACTCTGGAGGAGGAATGCTACACGAACAGTAGATCGGAGAGTGAACTTCAGATAAAAATGAGTCTATTTGATGCACTTTGTATTTTATACACTATATGGGAGGCAAAAACCTAAAATAAGTTTCACGTAAAGTGTAACTTACCTGAGAGCTTTCATCAAATTTTCAGCACCATCTCGTAATTTTGTCTGCTTGAATATTTTCTGATTTAATACTTGTCGTTTGTGTTGAAGTTTCCATCGGGCAGATGTCTTGCGAGATCCTAGTTCGACATCGTCCTTATGATTGAATGAAGAGAACACGCACCAACGGATTAATTGAATTTAGTACACTTTGTCATACGCGACACTGTGTTTTTACAAACATCTTACCAACGGGCGACGATATTTTTGTTTCGTGATAAAGGACGCAAATGAGCAAATATTGTAATGACAGATAGCATCGGCTAAATTTCACCATTGGAGGGCTTCAAATTAGCCGCAAACTCTTAAAAGCAATATTGGACATATTGAAACTTATAAAAGGATTATATCACTACAAGAACACCACTCTTTTAATATTACTTACCACTTCAAGCTTTACGTGGTCACCTTTGAGAACATCATTTCCCGTATGGCAATTTTCCTCCGACATTTCACGTCCGTCCGTTGGAACCATCACACTAGTCATTTAAACCGAAGAGTCTGTATTAGCTGACCGAGCGCGATTTTGAAAGCAAATATGTCATTTATATTGGATGTTTAAGATTCGTCATGGTTCGTGGGAAGTGTTTGTCTAATTCAGCGTGTTTATATTTCCGCTCAAATACCTTTGTAAGTGAATCATGTCAATGACATATTTTGCAAATCCAAGCGTGACTGGTGGAACACGTGATTCTCATGCGTTGGTATTATCAACCCTCCCCTCCCTTACAAGAAGTGTACTCACTCGCGAGTGTTTGGCATGCAAAGCGTGCAAAGTGACGTAAGTCAAAATTCGCAGCTACCGTAAACAGCAAGATTTGTACTTTTCTTGGTTCCTCTTTAAAAACTCAACAACAAACAAGAAATAGTAAAGGGCTGCAACAAAGCTTTTTGGGAGTTGAGATTCCCAGACTGTATAACGGTGGCAGCTCACAGGGTTGTTACGATTCCCTACTGCCCTTGCCTACAGCTGCCTCTCATCTGTAGATACTAAAATTTAAAGAATGTTAAGTTTTTATTTTTGTTTTCAAATGAACATCCAGTCCATAGCATAGCAATTTTTTATGGAGAAAATACTTTCCTCTTAGCTTTTCGAAAACAAAGTTAAGATAACAAAGCTTTTTGGAAATTGAGATTCCCAGACTGTATAATGGTGGCAGCTCACAGGGTTGTCATTATTTCCTACTGCCTTCGCTTGCAGCTGCCATTGACTGTCTCGGTAACTTGCCGAAACTTATTGATAGATATTAAAAATTGAAAAAATACATATAGTTAAGTTTTTATTTTTGTTTTCAAATAAACATCCAAGCAAAAGCATAATAATTTGATGGGGAAAATACTGTCCTCTAAGCTTTTTGATAAATGATAATTCTCTGAGATATTCATAGTCAGACCTCTAACTCAAAGATGTGCTCAATGTAAATCTATTCTTAACAACACCAATACATTATCTAACACACAAGAAATGGCAATGGACAAATGTATCAACTGAAGGTTTTTATTTATCTTAAGTTGATGTAAACCAACTTTTCTTCATTATTTTTTTACAAGGACAAACCATAGAGCTGGAAGGAAGAATCACACATCATATCTTAAGAGTTAGAGAAATTAGTTACATATAAACAAGCTTTCTCTATACATAAAATTTTACCAACTTTGTCTAAAATTATAGGGAATTAGATTTCATGACACTCCTTTAACTCAGAATTATCTTAATGTTGTATTCTGTCAAAGTTTTAGGCTTGGTGGCATCATGGAGGAAATTGCCAGTATATTAGGTATACAGAAGGTGCAGTTCTGGCCCAGAACTCATATACAATGGTATTATTCACTTGACGATTATGATGAAAAACTGGGTCCTTAACTACAGTGAGATGATGCTAGTGATCACATCTTCCTCATTCTCCAGTAATGATGTACAACAGAGTCCATTAACAACATCAAGGAAAGTGGACAGCAGAGTAAAATATAATCCAGATAACCTGTTAAATAATTCAAGGAATTTTGTTATTAATATCAAAATAGGATATGTTTATGAAGTAAATTTGATGAATTAATCCACTGAAATCTCACTGTTACATGCAATTATGAACAGTTTACTAAATAAAATAATAGAGAATACAAGAATGTAACTCTAATGTAACTGTAACAACAGTTAGGTGAGTCAAACATATTGAGGACAAAACATTTCAATGGTGTAAGACTGCTGTGGGTAATTGAGCTATCAGTTGTAAAAAGAAACAGAAGATCTCCAGTAATCTGAAGCTACACTTCCAGATCTCACAAGTTTCTCTGTCCATTTCCTTTATCGAGAAAAAAATTTCAACAATACTGGCCAAGAACACTTATTGAGGTAAAATTTCCCATCACTTTTTTTACAATCTTTATGACCTTGACAATAGTCAGTGTTAAGTCATCTACTGATTAGATATTCCTAGACAAGATTTTCCCGTTCATGTTTGAAAAGCCCATGTCAGGTTTTGTTAAAAAAAAAAAGTTAAACAAAGAAAGTTTCTGAAGCAACCCTACTTATACTTAAATTGAGTTTGTATTTTGTGAGATGCCTAAAATGTATCTCTCAGATTTCAAGAACCAAAACATAAGGTGCAAATTTGAGATTAGGTCTTTTCCCTGTGGCAGAAAAAATAACATTTTAAAAGATAGCCTAAGAACTAAAAAGGGTTTATTTTTCTTTTCTACATAATAGATCTTTTATATGCTTCTAAGATATTTAGCACTTACCAAAAATAAGGCAAATGATGTCATAAAACCTTCTTTAGTCAGTTCCCATGGTCCACCATATTCTTCTTCATCAATCTTTTGAAAGTTTGTGAAGTATATGTACAAAACACCAGCATTTATAAGGGCAAATCTGAAAATCATAAAATTGTGGCTGTTCAGTCACAATCAACTCCTGAAAACAATCAACAAGTTTATTCTCTTTACAAAATTGATACATCATCACATGAAAACAGGTAACGAGAAAAAAAAAGCTTTTCATTCCAAGGGAATTATCCTTATACAATGACAAATTCTCCTCACCAATTTATTGAGAAGCAAAGAGTAGCCAGCAATGAGAATTACTTTCAGACCTTTGGAGTTCAAAGATTAACTCTTTAACTCCCAGACCAAGTTTGTAATTCTCTTTACTGTCTACCATACAATTCTTATAATGTTAGTTCAGAGAATTTAGTATTGGATCAACTGATTGTCCCCAAATTGATATTTTTCTTCATTCTCATCACTTATCTGGTTGATATTGTATGGATATTGTAGGGAGAAATTCTGTCATGGTCACTTGTGGGAGTTAAAGGGTTAACCCAGGATAGCACCATTTAAAATTTTTAGACTGATTTTGTTCAACATTTCATGAGAAATAAAGACAACAAATGCAAAATGACAATTAGCAACTTACAGTGCTATAGCAAGGATTCCTTTCAAAGGTAGCAGACCCCAAATAATGCCTAAAATAATTGCTAACACTTGTCTAAACCAGTATATTACATCAAGGAATTCATCCTGAAGATAAAACAGAAAGATCAGTGACTTGGTGAAGTACCTTTATATTAATATCACAAAAATGTTTTCTACAATTGCTGTCAAAAGTTTAGGTGATGGGAATTTTCTTGCCTTTCTTAGTCTCTGTCCCAAGTGTTACACAAAATTTCATTGTATAGTGATAATAATACTTTATAAATAGCGCCATTTCTATCACTATCCAATACTGCTTTACAGTGACTGAAACAAATACAAAGTGCTTGAGAATCCCAACTAGCAGGAGGCAGACCACTTGGCTATTAACATGGTGCCACCAAGGAGTTGAACTCAGGGCAACCAAGAACAAATCCAGTAAATGGCAGGGTGAAGGACTTGAACCTGAGACCACCAGAATACAAGTCCAGCACCCTAACCACTTGGCCATGTCTCCTCCTCCTCAGCATTGAAAAGTAAGGACAGGGTTGCTTGGAAGACAAAAACATTTTTACTGAACAAAGTATGATCTGGTTTTTACATCAGCCTTCATGTAACTGTCCAGGTTTCTTTAATCTTTGAATGTAGATCAGCCAGATTAACAAGGGGCACTTTCCTATTGACAAAAGATCTTGATATGCTTTTGGAAAATTTACTTTGTCAAAGGGAGGCAGTCCGAGAACTTCAAAACCATGAGCTTTAGATTGATGCATACTGTGTGTAAAATGCATCTTATTCTCAATAGTAGTCCTTTTAACTGTATTTTGAATATATGAATGCAATGACTTTAAAAGTTATGGGTCCCACTTTTATTCTGGGAAAAGTCCTAATTTGTTGACAAAAGTCAAGTCACCCACTGATACAGCTGCATGTGCAGGAGACTGAAATTACCAATGGGACAGAAAATTTCAGAAATTTCTAGATAACTAGTAGCTTTCACCAGAAACTTTCCTGTTCCACTGATTTTCAGACCAGAAATGTTGAACTTTTTTCCTGGATGTAAGGCACCCAAGGAAGAGAACTACCCCTCCCTCCCTCCCCTCCACACTACCCAAGCAGGTTCTTGTTGCAAATGCGTAATCCAAGTAGCTGAACAAACCGACCAGTGTCGAATAAGAATATTATGTTCTCAATCTAAATACGCAAATGCTATACATAGCTTTGATGGTTACGCCATGATGTGTTTAGTACGTTCGAGAAATTGTCGTCTAAATTGCTAAAATCAAATGCAATATTTGACTATGCTAAGCTGGGCTTGTTCGTGCAGTTAATTACATGCACGAGTAAGGACTCCAAATAGCATTTTGTAAGCAAACTGTGGAAGGGATATTACTTAAAACAAGAAGTAATAAATCATCTTTTAACAACAAACGTAAGAGGTATAACAATTAATTAAATGATCAATCTCCACTTGCAGAATTTTACCAATCGCAAGTAAATTTATTAACCTACCTTATCTTCCCAACTGGAATTTTTCTTGAAAGCCTTTTTCACTACCGCAGACACTGATCCATTTGATACAGCAATATCTTTCTGAGATTTCTTTAGCTTCTGTACAGACATATTACAGTTAAAGCAATTATCATTTGAAGATCATTTAGATTATAGAATTCCCGCACATGTACTACAAATCGAAGGAGCACTTTTAATAAATGAAATAGACCGCTGACTTCTATCAGATATCCCACAATGCTTCACGTCCTCTCCCTTCTCGTCCTCTTTCCTTGCATTGTGGTGAAGATTTGGTTGTAAGGTCAGTGCCGAGCAACAATCCATGTATTTCTCTCGCATCGCTTCATAATTCTTGAAGCTGTTGAGTTATATCAATTTATCAATAAATTTTTTGTTTAATCAAAGAATTATTTTTATACAATCGTCTAGCTGGAGTAGTTTTTACCTCCCTTGATTGTCAGACACTCAGTATGAAATACAGTATTTTTAGTGGTTTGATGAAATATGTGATATGGTTGTATTAAAGGGTAGTGCCTCGGCATTTTTTATTCGTCTTTCAGTCTTGCAATATTTATGCTATTAAGTATAAACCTGTACAAGTCAGTGTCTTAGCTGTAACTTTATTGTCATTGTCTGCGAAACTTTCATGAACTGAGTACACTTGTTTTGATGGTCAGGTAACCATATCGAAGTCAAAGTTGTGACTATGCTGATAATAGAACTTGAAAGCTTACTGCTTATTGTGTCACGATTTTAAGAATTTGTCACAGTCAATCTGAAAAAAAGTCAATTCAGTTCAAGCTACCATTTTGTTACTGTGTAGTAAAGTTTGCATGCTTACACCAGTTAGCAACATAGTAGACCATCTTGCCCGTGTTAATGGAACATCTTTAGTGTAAGCCAAGTGTACGTTGATACGCTAGTGTCCTTGTGTTCCTTTTATATCCCTATACCTTTGATCTTGTACAACCCTCATAACAACATAATGTTCTCATATTATGTTGGTAGAGTTCACCAGAAGTTAATTTATTATTGAGGATGTGTAATTAAAAAGCCTTGCAGTGGTATCATTTGCACTGTAGTTCATTCTGATTAGTTCATTCTTGTATTATGGAAAGCTTTAAATACAGATAAGTCATTGATATTCATTTTAATTTTAGTTAGATGAAATTAAAGTTACACAAGGGATTGGGTAGTGTTGTAGCAAACAAATTTCAATCTTTTTGTTACGTTTATCCCTTTTTTTTTTAGGTTTCTTATCCAACCTTACCAACCATGGCGCCCAAACACAATAACATGATACACAACAACCACTTCCACAAACAGTGGCAGAACTATGTAAGAACATGGTTTGATCAACCTGGACGCAAGAAGCGCAGGCGTGTGGCCCGTGTAAAGAGGGCTTTGCAGATTGCACCCCGTCCAGTTGCTGGTGCTCTGCGTCCGATTGTGCGTTGCCCAACTTTCAAGTACAATACTAAGGTCAGGGCTGGACGAGGCTTCACTTTGGAAGAACTAAAGGTAGGTATTGGTGTAGATCCTTGGGTTATATGAGGGGTTTCAATAACTTTTTCTATAAGCTGCTACTGATGGTGCAATAGGCAGCTGTGCTAGGAGAAGTGGCTGTGAAACCCCTTTCTCCTCAGGGTGGTCTGAGGGAATGCTTCTTCATTTGCAATTATAGACAGCTCTGTTTATAATAATTTTAATTGACAAAACTGCAAAGTGCCTGTCACTCTTAAATGCTGAGTTAATGAATAAAAACAAGAAATCAAAGGCTTGTGAGAATGCTAGCTGGTAACTTGTTGGTATGAGATTGGACACCCATGCTCGCAGTGTGCTTGTAGGTGAAACATATAGTGTTAAAAGGTCCTGTAGGTAGATGTAGATCACCAGTAATGGGTGTTTGTTGAAATTCTTGTTTTATTAGAGCTATTTTAAGTTACATGGGGAAAGTGCTTTAAGTTTCCAGTAGTTTTCCTTTGCTTTACATCTTTCAACCAGTCAGATGCAAAATAACTGTTGCACTAACAACTTGGTCACAGACAGGGTCATTAATTTCTTCTATCCTTTCAGGCTGCTGGCATCTCTCGCAAAGTAGCTCCAACCATTGGTATTTCTGTTGATCACAGAAGAAAGAACAGATCAGCAGAATCCCTTCAGGCAAATGTACAAAGACTGAAGGAGTACAAGAGCAAGTTGATTGTCTTTCCAAGGAAGGCTAGCAAACCCAAACAGGGAGACAGTGAGGTAACAAATGAAATACATATGATGTCTTTGTTTATTGCAATGCTGCTATACAATGAAGGTGTTTTGTAGGTGGTGGTATCATCTTGACAAGGAATTCAGGAAATGTTTTTATATTGTGCCAACTTAATGTAAATCAAAGTTAGAGAAAACATGACTGTACATCAGAATGATGATAGTAGAGAGTCAAAAAGTTTTTCTTTCTTATTTTCTTTTCAAATGTTTGCTGTGATTTTAGTAGTCTTTGCATTTTCTATCCTGATGTAAGCATGGGTTTTTATAATGCTTACTTTGGTATTGATTTGAGGGACAATTGCTGCTCAGATGAGAGGGTATGAAGTGGGGACTTCTCATGGTGTCTCAAGGACTTTTTTAAATTATTGTCAAGCTATGTTTCTGTTACCTGTTTTTGTGATTTGTATAGACTGTAGATTCAGTTTTATTTAATAACCAGTTTAGACTTCATGGTTAGTTTCATCATTAATTTATTATTTGATACAGGTATCTACTATAGAAATGATTTTGCCTAATTGGCATTTTTTCGGTTGGGGTAGGGGGTAGTTTGCATGACTGAAAATTTCTAGTTTGTTTTAATTGGAATGTAGTTTTAATGATATGTGGAATTGTGAGATTAACAGTTATGCAGACAGTAAATATATTTGAGTTAATTGTTCTCTTGACTTATTCAAATTTTAGGCTGCTGAATTGTCCAATGCTGTTCAACTTCAAGGAGCAGTCATGCCAATCCAACAGTCTCGCCTGCCTATCAAGGCTCGCAAGATCACAGATGAAGAAAAGAACACCAGTGTATTCTGTAGCATGCGTATTGCTCGTGCCAATGCCAGGTTGATTGGCATCCGTGAGAAGAGAGCCAGGGAGAAGGCTGAACAGGATGCTATGAAGAAGAAATAAGTTGTGAATAAATGTCCAAATTCATTTGTTGCAAACATGTGTTCTTCTGTTCTGCATAGTTTACTTAAACACGATTTAGTATTGCAATTGAATATAGAGATAAGGCATCATGCCTGGCCATGATATCTGAGTGCCCCACATTTAGACAGAGGCCAACCTTTATAGGAAAGTTCTGGTTAAGTTTGTCTGTAGGTTCAGCTTTACAGGTAACTTTCTATTTTGATAAGCCCCCCTCTCCCTTGTAAACTTGGACTGGGTTGTTCAGAACACAAGTATCACAAATCCTTGGCAAAATGAAAACCATGTGTGTTCTTTCATAGTAGTTAAATCTGGATTATTTTCATTGGTGCTGTGAACAACCCTGTCCTAGCAGAGCTGGTCTAAACTATCTACCTCCAGATTTACAAGCTTACTGAAAGAATGTAATGGAACTTTGGAAGTATTACTCTTGTTTGGCACTGAAGGTTTGAATGGTTCACTCTTATGTCTTTGGGACTGATCTTTTGACAGACTCATTTCTGTCATACGACTTTACTGCAACCTCAGTAGAGGGCAATTTCAAGCTCTTGAAGTCTAACTTGTTCCTATCCTTGATGGCACCCTGTTCAAGACACTCAATAGTACCAGCTGTTTAAAACTGAGTGGCTCATCCTGTTGCGCAGCACATACTCGTTTTAGCTTAGTAGGTGAATTAACCCTTCCTCCCCACACCGTGAAATTCGGAAGAGTAAAATCTTGAGGAATACACTCGGAAGATAATCTTGACTCGGGTGTGGAGGAATGGCACTCGTGATGCTTTGCTATCACAAGGTATGAGTTTACAGAATAGGCCATAGGAGAATAGAAGAGTTAGTTAACAGGGAAGAGATATTCGATTGGGATGGAAGGGCTTTTATTAGGGTCTGGGAGCATGCCGAAAAAAAATTGTTTACGCAACACACGAGGACTCCAGTTAGCCCTGACAACTATCACAGCTAAGAAGGATTAAACTGCACTGCTTTAACTATGTCTTGCCCTTTTGCGAGGGCTTTCGTAGGTTTCGCCCCATAGCAAGTTCGTGGTAGTACAGAAACGGAGCGAAGGTGAATTTAAGTTAGGAAAAAAAAAGGGTGGGTGGGGGTTAATAAACGGGGTGGAAAATTTCCTTGATGGGCGAAAGTCCCTTCCGAAGAATACATTTTAAAGTTCAGCTGGGTACATTTATGTTGAGATACTCAATCTACACGACTTCAAAAATGATTTGATTCCGGTATATATTTATTAACTTTCCTTTAGTTGTATATGTGGAGTTCACTGCATTAAATGTAAAATAGAGGCAACGAATAGAATGTGACAAAGGAAGAAAAGTTAATTAGTTATTTTCTGAAAGCTTTAGTTGACGTACAAAACAGTCTTGTCAGTCATCGGTGAAATGTGAAATGTGAAATTCGGCCAAATAAGCGTAACCCGACTCTTTCGGACTGAGATGCATTCGTTCCTTTACCATACGGTCAACTGAGAATTGGCGATGCTTCTTGTGCTTGTAGCTGAACTTAGTGGACCCCCTAGCGCTTACAGTCTGCACACGAAAGGCTGGAGGGGGGGGGGGGGGGAAGAGAGAACGCATATGCGTGGATGACGCATCATTGCTTGAGGACTTTCAATGGAGTCTTCAAGGTAATCAGGAATTGCATTCCCATTGGTTTTGATTCACTTTGCTTGTGGTTGGTCGAGAAAACTTGCATAACCAAAAGCAATGGACCTTAAGTGCGACTTAGTCACTCGCGTTTTCCGTAACTTTTGGCAGCTTGCTTAGTTTTAATTTGAGTTCTCATTAACACCCCTCCCCTTTATTGGCTTCGTGTTTCATGTTACATTCCCCTTCCCACTCATTGGCCGTAGTGATAACATTGGAATAGGATTTACCAATATCGATTGAAATGGAATCTAAACAGCTGAGCAAGGACCTCGACTACGTAGATGAGGGTTTTTTTGTGCACTTCGAAGCCATGAACACAGAGTCGCGAGAGGCTGAGGAAGGAAAATAGTTTTACTATTCGAAGTTGCACTCCGCTGTCTTTATTTATCATCAATCGCTAAAAATACCGCTACCTATGCAGGTTAAGGAGAACCAGTCTCACTTGTTCTTCAGAAAAACCTGAACATCTCATGTAGAGTACTTGCTGTCAATGCGATTCTGGCACGGTAGAAGCTGCCGCAACTGAACTGAACTTACAATGCTTATGTTTCCGAATAATATCGATCATTCTGTCTTCGGTTTTGGGTTTGCATCAACTTCCTCCTCAGTTGCTTTCAGTTCTGTTACTCCATCTTCATCATCTAAATACTCGGTGCCTTCATCTTGAAGCTCTTCCAAATCTTCCTCTTCAGGTCCAGGGTCAGCGATACACAGCATATAGATAAGAAATGAGAACACCAGCAGAGGGAAGCCAAACATGAGTATAGCAGCAATGGGTTGGGTGGTCCAGATTTCCTGTGTTCATCAAAAATACAGTTTAGACTTGATGAAAAAGCAACATCGTTTTTCTTTCCTTCCGAGAGCGAGAACCAAAATGAAGGAAACTGGGACAATGGAAAAATTGTTGATGTACTTTTGTGGACAAAGTGCATGTAGCACTGCTTTATGAGGGAGAAAATACTACTGTGTGTGTGTTGCACATGATACATAAAAAATAAATAAATTTCTCATGAACAAGAGCAAACAGAACATAAATGTTAACAGGACATAAATGTTAATTGAGGGTCCCGATGGGGTAATGACTTTTTGACTAACGGTTGAAATTTCGGCCGTTTTACGGCGGACGGTGGACCCCATTGAGACCCTCTTAATATGAAAGATTTTCAATACTTACGTAAATCGATCTGAGAAGTTCCCAAATCCCCTGTTGAAAGAGATTAAACCAATGAATACTAATAGTTATACTATAAAACGTGAAACTATCGCGATATTTATGCTGATGATGCCCAATTTTAAGGGAAAACACGCCGCATCTCATCACGTACATTTCCAACTACACTCGCTCTCAAAAGAAAAATGATCCTGAAGTTTAACCACATGCCTTCCACAGGGTACCCAAGTAAAACACGTAGACGAGACAAAGGACTTTGATGAATATGGCTTATTACCCTGATGTAATGACAAGATACTTGTCAAATCCTTGAGCGATGTGCCCTAATTTCCTTACTAAATTGGCTTTAAAAAACGCTTCAAACACAGAGTTACAATGCGACAAAAAGTGCAGATGTTCTTAACGATTCTTCTCACTCTGAGGTATGTTCCAAGCATGCGCTTTAAATTTGGTAATACCTCAACCTCAACGTTCCTCTGAAACTAACTATTTGACAAAAATGCTGTTAACTAAAAATATGCACTTACAATTTTGGTTCATCTCAGCCTCAACATTTAAAAAACAAGGTGTTTAGTAATTTTACAGCAGTGTCTTACCCTATAGAATCTTTGAAAGTACGAGTCTCCACCGTATCCCTGCAAAATGAAAAACAAGTTTAATCGGTTAATTCATAAAATGACGGCATGACTGCAACCAGAGTTCAGAGATAAACTACATTCAGTAGGAAACACTATAGAGATACCTTTGCACGACCCTCCAACACATCTTCAAGGAAAGATACCAACTGCTGTTCAGTAAATTCCTCTTTAATCTCTGAATACTGCTTTAAGTAATACACATGATTTGTACTGTTATATGCCATTAAGAATGGGGCTGACATTGAGCTGAGAATGAAAAGAAAAGAACTTATTATCAATATAATAATTGCAATGATAATAATGATAATGATATTAATAATAATAATAATAATAGTAATAATAATAGGTTAATTAAAAGGGAGTGGGGATGGAGCAGGGATGGTGCAGTAGTGGGAGTGCTCGCCTCCCACTGCTGTGGCCTGGGTTCAACTCCCAGACCTGGTGTCACACGAGGGTTGAGTTTGTTGTTGGTCCTTGTCCCTACTCCACGAGTTTCTCTCTGGGTCCTTCAGTTTTCCTCCCTCAACAAAAACCAACATTCTAAATTCCAATTTGATCTGGAAGCAATGGACAAGGCGAGCCATCTTGTGGAATGTCCAGTGCTAAATCCATTCTTTAATTTTTATCATAAACCTAATGCAAAAGTTGTTATTTTTCTACCCATAGAGTCTGATTATATGTTGCAACAGTACATATAATATTATAAATTCATTTTCACACGAAGAATGTCATCAGTTTTAAGTTCAAGTTATTGATTCACAATTTGTCCTTTTCTTTGCCTTGATGTAAGTCTACATTTTTCTTTTTTATTTCCTCTTTTTTTTCTTTTTTGTGGAATTGTGTAAAAGTGTGCTCTCTTATTGACCAGCAGTTTACTCTGACTGTTGAATGCTTGTAAAGGTTGCAACTGGCTTACTGCATTAATGCAGTAACCCAAGAACTTCTTTGAAGTTTACTGCCTCAATAGCAATAATTTCTGAATACTTTGCCGAGGATTAACATTTGCCACTAAAAAAAACGCCCTTTACAAGGAATCGAGGAACTAAATGGAAAGATCAAACAGAGTCTTATCTAAAACGCGCGATCAACCATCTTTTAGTGAAAAACTGAAATTTTGATTTCACAAAAGGTTCACGATGAAGATCAACAAGGGTTGGTTTCGTATGATGTCTCCTCGTTATTCACGAACGTGCCTTTGGACGAAACAATAGAGATCTTGGTTAGTCATTTAAAATCTTTTTACTAGTACCTCATCATGAGGTTTGTTGCAATAGTATCCCCCAACATCCATCCAAACTGAAAATGCCTGAAAATAAAATTATAACAAGCCAGTCTAACCATTACAAAAAGTTTTACCTAATTTTATGACTTCTTCTTGTCTGTTGGCAACTGTTAAATGTTTGATTTTAGGTAAACTTTTTCCACGTTACATTATTTGAGAGAGATATGGTATTGGACTAGAAAAGGTATATTGGGCAACAACAAGGTCATTTCAGAATTTACTCCTATGCATCTTCTCTACATCTAAACATGTGATCCCACACATATTTTTAGTAGTTTCTTTGGCCTCGACAGTCTTAAGGCACAGTTACTGGTGAACTCTAAGTAAACCTTGATGCTGGGGGTAATCTACAGTGCACATCAAATCTGTGTTACATTCAACAAGAGTAGCAAAACTCCCCTTTATACCTGACCTAAAGGAATTGAAAAAGGCTCTAGCAGAGTAGATCAGTGAGTCTAAGGGTAGAAAAAGCCTCCTTGTTCAGTCATATAAAGAATGAAGGGATCAATATCAGTATCTGTACAACTGCCCACCTACCCCTCCCCTAACTCAACAATAGTCAATTGATAACAAGTTAGGGTTAATGTTGGGTTAGAGGAGGGGTAGGTGGGCAGTTGCATGAAGCTGCAGAATGTTGTACTTGCCTGTGAAATCTTTGCCGTTCATTTATGGCCACACTTTTGACAATTTTGCTGACCCTAATACAATTAAAAAAACAACATTATATATTCCACATGCACTTTTGAAAATAAGTCTTCATCTCCTGTTAGAGACTACACAGAGTGATACTGAATTAAATGGCAAGGAATATTCCTTACATTCTAACAAAGGGCTAATGCTCAAAATGTCAGCCTTAACCCTTTCACTCCCAAGATCTAATTAGTAATTCTCCTTACTATCTGCCATACAATTCTTATGATGTTAGTTTAGAGAATTTGGTATTGGATCAACTAATAATCCAATGATTGATATTCTCCTCTATTCTCATCACCTGCCTGCTTGATATTGTATTGATATTGTAAGGAGAAATTCTGTCTTGGTCACTTGTGGGAGTGAAAGGGTTAAAACTCTTTATGGTGACCAATTTACATTTTCAACTCAGTTGATAACACTAAATTTCCCCACAAATAACTCAGGATGTAAACAATGAAAAAAATGTCTCATTCTAATTATTCTACATGTCATCAGTTGCCACTGCCTGGTTAGCTCAGGTTTTAGAGCACTAGACTGTCCTGTGGGAGGTTAAAGGTTCAAGTTCGGACCAGACCAACACTCAGCGTCTTCAAATAACTGAAGAGGGTTTGCTACCTTTGCTATGAGATCTGAAAATGGTTCGACATTCTTGTCATCTTGGATAAGGACAATAAACCTCAGGCCCTATCTCCTGCATCTTCTCTGTGCCAGTGAGCAGGGGACATTAGAGAGCCCAAACACTTCTCACAAAGAGTAAGGAATGTAGCTCCTTGTCTTATGGTCTGGCAATATTTCCAAAATTGGGGACTGCAACAAAATTCTCTTTCAAAAATTTGTAAACTGCATAATGCAGTCTGGCCAAAGTCCCCCACAAAGTGTTGTAAAGCACATTGGAACATTAGAATGGATAATGCCCTGTATAAATGCCACCTCATCATCATCACATAATAATGATGAGGTTGCACTTTATCTTGGCCAAGAAACCAATGAGATACCTTCAGAATTTCTTTGCAAATTTGAAAAGCACTACACTCTAAATTGCTGTTATAAACTTAAAGATGTTAGCAGTGTGGCCCTCTACTAGGATTCCCAGCCAAAAATGAGTCAAAATAAAAAAAGAGTTCAAATAGTAGATTGATTCATACCAACAATTTTGCGACAAGAAATCTCCAATGAGATCATCATGATATAGAGTAGAATTTTCAAATACCTTTCATTTATTTTCTTTTTACTCTTCTGTTCTGCCAGTACAGTTAACAGCATTATTTTGCCTAAAAGAGCATTAAGTTATAAAAAGAAAATCAAACCTGAGGCTCTTAAATTGATTGATTTATTCTTAAAAGGGACTTAATCATTGTCAGTGATTATTTTTTTTCCTTGCACTAAGATTTTCAAACCAGTCATATTTTTGCATTTTATTTTGACTTGTAATAATCATAATATTCCAAAGAAAATGAAAATCAAACTGCTGCTGGTTTAGAATTTTTAACCCAAAAAAATATTTGAATTACAATATATTCATAACAAACTTGACAGTCAGTATATTGAATCAGTGTGGGATTGTGTAAAATAGAATCAATTGTGTGTCATTTACCAGTTGTGGTGATATCATGAAAATTCGATCTGGTGACATGAACAAATGCTTCAAATCTTTCATTATTTATCCATCCAGATAACGTACTCTCTTCAATTACATCGTCTGAACCTTGAATCAAATTAAAAATAAATCAGTCGACAAAATTATTTCTTTCAGCATAAAGGACAAGGAAATATCCTTTATCCCTTTAACTCCCAAGATTTGATTGTGAGTTCTCCCCACTAGCTGCTACACATTTCCTTGTAAATTGGTAACAAGAATTTGGTGTTAGATCAAGATGGCAACTTCTACCTAATAACTTTGAGTATTCTCATTACCTGCTTGCTGAATAATATATGGGTATTATAGGGAGAGCTTCCCTGTTAATTTTAAAAGTTCTGCATGTCAGCAACAGTTATTCATTATACATAGCTTAACTTTTTCCATATTTAGCATCTGCTGTTATTTGCTAAGTTCAATATTTTATGCAATTTACATCATTGACAAACAGCTAAAAGACACCAAAAATCTACATTGAGTGGCAGAAGTAGTTGACAGGCCTCCCTTACTATGTGGTCAATAAACCCTCTACTTAACACAATAAACAGAAATCTTGTGATTCATCTTAACTAAGTTACTTTAAAGTTCCCTCTTTTACCCCAAACAATGTTACCTGAAATTAGAGAGCATTTTGTTAACATCAGGCAACATTGAAATGGGGGTGAGGGGGGAATAAATGGAAGTTACAGCAAAAATCAAACAAGTAGTGGCATGTGCCAAGACTTAAGCCTTTAACTTCCAAGATCTCATTAGTAATGCTCCTTGCTGTCTGCTATATAATTCTTGTGATGCTAGTTGGGAGGATTTGGTAATGGATCAACTAATAATCCCCTAATTAAGATTTTTCTTTATTCTCGTCACTTGTCTGCTTGATATTGTATTAATATTTTATTAAAGGAGAAATTCTGTCTTGGTCACTCATGGGAGTTAAAGGATTAATAGCCACTCATTGTAGAAGTAAGCTAAACATGGAAAAAGAAATGCATCTAACATCATGATGGCTAATATAATGTGGATAATTTATCTAATCATCATGATATATAAAGACTCATTACCAGTCATAAATTAATTTTCCAATGTTATTGCATACCTTCAAGCATGGATATGGAACCATCTTTTGAAACAATGACAGTTGGCCCCTTTACCTCAACATCCTTGTCAGAGAAAAAAAGTAGATTAACTGAACAAGATTCAATGGAGGAATTATATTATCATTGTATAATTCGCATTTAAGAGGTAGTCCTGTTCTGTAGTGGCTGGTAACACATCAATTAAGGAATTATGTAATAAGCATGACTGTAGGTAATGCTTGCAAATGAAATCACACCTGATTATAAGATGTTATATCCAAAGCACTAATACTAATTACACTATTACGGTAACCATAATTTTTTCCTCCATTTGATTTATATATAGATTCTCACCTCTGGTAAAGCTCCCTGATCAATTTGATAAAAATAGCTTTGAATAACCTTATCTTCAGCAACTTGATAAAAAATATCCTGAGAAAAAAAATAAGTCCATAATTAGATATAATTAAGTAAAAATATCTTATTAGATGTTCTAGTGTGTGGTATCACTGAGTATCTTACAAGTTCTGCTGTATATTGACAAGCCTGAAGCTCAAGTCAAAATGCAAACAATGGTTTAAAATACTTGGCAATACAACACACCATAACATCTAATAAGTTAAATATTATCCAACTGCCTCATTTTATGTACATTTCTTATTAAGCGGCAAAAGCAAAGAAGATAGATATGTGTAGTGAGTGCAGCTGACCAGTTTAATAGGTTTTTTTACAGTACAAAATAACCAACTGTCCAATATTGTACTATACCAGTATGTGACACTTAAAATTTATTACAAAACTCTTAATTAGAATTTTCATCTAAACTCCTTCTTGGAGCTTCTTGTTGATGTTGTTGTTGTTGTTGTGTTTCAAGCAACAATTAACTTAAAATTGATCATGCAGGGTCCATGACTTGTGTTATTCACAGTGAATAATTTTGGTCTCAAATCTCATTCTTAGGTTATGATTCAAAACAAAATCTTAAGAACAGATCTGCCATTAAGAACAACTTACTTTAAGTTTTTCTGACAACTGTGCATTGTCATTGCTTGTTACTAGGAAAAAACAGACACTTTTCTCATTTCTTATTCTCTCCATTTGGGCTGCATCCTTGAGCTCAGTAACCGCTGGTCTGAAGGGTAATCATAGTTGAAAAATATAAATAAGATAAACACAAACACATATTAACAACAAAAATTGAACTGTAAGATTCACTGCATGAAATTCCTCTGATCTTAAGGGACACAGTCAGCTCTTTCTTGCATTAGTTTACAAGCCCTTGACAAACAAGACATTTAGTTATTTTCATTGTCACTTGTCAATTTGGTCATTATTGACAAGAATAGTTTTTTAGGTATTGCACTCCAAGTAATTATCTGTTTAATTGGTGTTTGTATCTACTTTTAATTTGTTTGTGTTCCATTTTTGATATTTGGTTCTCTTGTTTTTTAAATCAAACAAACATAACTTTTAATTTTTTGCTTTCTGCTTGACTTTTCAGTTCCAACAGCTTTAACATATCACCTCAGTTTTGATATTTTTTTTTAGCCTTTAAGGTTCTCTAGTTTCTGATAAGCCCTGGATCATCCTACCATGACAGATTAACTTTAGATTACCAAAAGCAAAAGGATTCAACACCAGAACACCTAATACTCTTTTTTCATGAGAATAAATCCCCTCTGATTTTTATCAACTTTGAGTGGGTCACTGGACGGACTAACGCACAAACATTTTGCATTAGTCCTATAACTCACAAGATCTGATTTTAATTCTCCCTTCTAGCTGCTACCCATTCTCTTTTAAATTAGTTATGAGAATTTGGTATTGGATCAAGATAGCAACTTGCACCTGATAAGTCTGTGTATTCTCATTACCTGTTTGCTGGATAATATAAGGATGTTACAGGGAGAAATTTCACGTTGATCACTTCTGAGAGCAAAAGAATTAGAAGCACAAGGACAGGGAAGCAAACATATCTCACCTGTTTGCCTTCTCTGCAAATTGGACAAAATCCTGGACTGTGCGTTCACCTTCAAATGTTAAAACTCTTTTTCCTTTAATACTGTTATACCACAAGCAAAAAATTGTAGAACAACAAGTTAGTAACCTATTGAACAGATATATTGAAAATATTTAGGATTGTTCCTTAGAAATAAGACAGCTGTACAATCTAGCAAGGTATGACCATAATCTACAAATCAGCTTCAAATATCCCATCCAAAGGAGTAAGGGTTAATTAAATGGATTATAATTTTCAGACTTTTTTAATTTTTCCAAGAACAGAAGTCCTTTGATATTTTAATAAGTGTAGAAGAGAAAGGGTTCATCGCTGAAGGTCATGCCTTTATCTAATGAGTCTCTCTTGGTTTTTTTAAATATACATATAAAAATAAATTTACGTATACATATATATATACATATATGTATATATTTAATTATATAAGGCAAATTCAAATTTCAATTCATGTAATTATCTAAAACATCTTGTCGGTGATTGAAGTTTAAAACAAAAAATTTTGTCCTGAATTCATTTCCATGTAGAGTGTAAAATGTAGTTTTTGAGTTAGTGTTATTAATAGTTTGCTGACGCTACTCACAATTTAATTGAAGGAAATCCTCTGATACCAAAGTGTTTTGCTAATGCTAATAAACAAAATCAGAATAGAGATAATTTCTTAAATAGTGAAATCTGAATGAGAAATTGTAAAGAACATCAAGCTATCTACTGTAATCTATTCTTATCACATGATAATATAACCAAGTATTTGAAAATAATTAATCGTACAAATCAAATTTAATTTTCCTCAAAAACTGAGTGAATGCAGAGGCCAGACTTAACCCCAACACCCAAAGATTTTGTTTTCCTTTTAGTAATTGCCCCTTCTAATGAATGAGTGGAATCATAAAAAGGCACAACTACATTTAACCCTTAAAGAGCCATGGCAATAAAAGAAAGTTTTCATTGCAAATATCTTTACCTGAGTATCTAGTTGCATCTAATTTTCCAACTCTAATAGGTGATCCATAAAGAGTTTTCCCTACTTCAGCCCATATTGGCTCTAGTTTCTTGCAGTAACCACACCATGGGGCATAGAACTAAAAGACATTTCCAAGAGCTTAACAGACATGAAGCATTAAAGGAAAGACTGAGGTACTGTGTTTTTTGGTCCACTTTGCTGATAACAAGACACTGGAAGAGGCCTATAACTAAGGTATTGGACAAAAGTGGTCTTGATTTAACCAGGAAGTTTGTGGCCATATTACCGGTATACAAGGGAAGACATGTGGAAAAATTGCCTCCTTTGTTGTCCTTTACATGTGGATAACAAATTCATTAACCCTGAAACTCCCACGAGTGTCTTAGTCCTTACAATATCAATACAAAATCAAGAAGACAAGTGACGAGAACTGAGAGAAGTATCAATTAGGGGATTATTAGTTGATCCAACACCAAATTATCAAAAGTAACATTAGAAGAATTGTATAGCAGACAGTAAGGAGAATTACTGATGAGATCTTGGGAGTTAAAGGGTTTAAAAAAAAGAATTGAGACCATACCTCAACTAACCAGCTACCCTCATTCATCAGAGATGAAAAACTGTGAGAGAGAAAGAATATCACAGATTACTTTCAATTCAGACTAAAAGGATGGTAGTACACCTTTATTTGGAAGAACTGGCGGTTTAGTAGAATGGTGGTCAGTAGCCCACAATTCTAATTAAAACCTCCAGTGCAAGTCCTTAGTTGTGTTCTTTAGCAAGAAACTTTGCTTGCACCAAACCTCTCTAGCTCTCGGCCCAAGAGTATACATGGGTAACAGCAAACAGCCAAGAAAACATGACAAAAGAATAAAGGAGGTAATTTTCTAAAGAAACTGCAGTACTGCATCAGTGGGAGAGTAATTTTGTATTATCAACTGAGTTGATAATGTAAATTGGCCACTGAAAAGAGTTTTAAAGCTGATGTATCGAGCCTTAGTAAGAGTGAATAGTGAAAGGCTAATGCTCGCAAAGTCAGCTTTGAAACTCTTTATGGTGGCCAATTTACATTATCAACTCAGTTGATAAATAAATACTACATTACCTGGTTATAAAAATGACAAAACCCTGGGGCTAACCCAAATATTCACTGTTGTCCCATCCAATGGGATGAAAAAATACACAGTTATTCCATGCTACTGAAATGGGTTAAACTCTAGCAGTATGGGCTTTCTAACTAGCCACCTAAACTGATTCACGTTGCCTTACAATTTTACTCCTCTTGTTAACTCTTAAGCAATTGAAAATTATTGGCCGGGCTTGATTTGTTGATCACAAGATTCATTAGAAAGGTTTCCCCTTTCCCCTTTTTCGAGTGTTACTGCATTTACAACGCAAAGTCAAAACCCATTAATTCATATAACAAAGAGAATAGAGAGCAATATGATTTCCAAGAAGTGACGTCTCCAATCAATTGTCCGTTTCCCGTCGTTCGAGGTCGTCCTTTTGTTAATTTTCCTCTTTTCTTTCATTTTATGTATCCCACGCCCCATAGTAAGTACATAAGAATGTTAAAAACAATAAAACTACCATAACGTTTAAAATAAGAACAAGAAAATAAACCACAACTTGAATCTTCTCCTTACCTGCCGTCAAGCTCTTTGACGAACGCATTGCACCTACAGAACAAAACGACTGAAAGAAAGAAAAAATTAAGATCACGCTCACAAAATCGTGCATGAATTCCATTCACATGTAGTTAGAAATAGTATATACCTAGCGCTAGGAAAGTAAGAGAGAATATTCTCCGAAATTGTATTGAGGGCCTATTCTTGATCGCCATTTTGACAGCTGGTTATTAGCCTTGACCCAGTCTTCGCGCAAGTAGGTCTGGTGATAGCCTGGAGCGAGTAACAAAATCAGCAAACCAAAAATAGCGCAAAGGCTGAAGGTACAATTACCAAGGATTGAACGAAGCAGTGTGATGCAATTTTGCAAGATCATCCTGAACGGGATAATCGGTTTTAGAGAGGTCAAGTATGAAGTTTATAGCATAGATAACCACGTGACCAATTTTTTTTTGTTATTTTGAGGTTTGCTGTTTGCCGTTTTCAAGGTTTTGCGTTACTGAAAAACGTAAGTAAAAGGTGTATTCTTTTATGCTGTTGCAAAGCATTAACAATCTCATCGACGTTTCATGGATGCTATACGCTACAAGTAGTTATCATTGCGCGATTCTATAGGCTACTTTGCGTCACGTGGCATAAAATCACCCAGTAACCCCCGTCTACGTCGGTATTTGCATGGGGGCCCCACACCGTTGACAGATTTGCTTGTTCCTATAACGCTAAGGTACCAAGATTTAACACTGAGATTTTTTCAGACTGGCTGTGTAGCAGTAGATGCCTTCTCCCAAGATTGGGAGCACGATAATGATTGGATTTGTCCTCCAGTGTGCCTATTAATTAGAGTGGTAAAGCACATGGAATTGCGTAAGGCGAGAGGAACGGTTATCCTTCCCTTGTGGAAGTCCTCTTGCTTCTGGACTTTATTTTGTAGAGACGGTGTGCACTGGAACAGTTTCGTGTTTTTACCCAAGTTCCCACGTCTCTTTATCAGAGGGAAAGCCCGAAACTCGCTTTTCGGTTCCAGACCCCTGAACTTTGATGTTATAGCCCTTCGAATTGATTTTCGCCGCCCTAGATCTCCCTGCGCTTACGTAGGCTTCTGTAAGAAGTTCAGTAAAGACTGTGATCGTTGTAATTAGCCCGACGAGCTTTTGTATTCACCGCGGAAGTTTTCTCTTCTGGGCGCAAATGCGATTTTGTGTCAGTCAATCCCAGCGTAATTGCTCCAAGTCCTTTGTACTTAGCTTATGGGTTGTTTGGCACTTACTCAGGCTTGAAGTGACTTAAGTCATAGAATTGCACGTCAATATTGCGTTATGACACGAGTTTGTGTCAAGAATTTATTCAGCATTGTTTGAAATTAAAGGAACCCATTTGTGGTCCACTTTGCAGATTCCAGTTGTCTGTGTATTCTCTGTTGGAGTTTGATTATTCCCGGTTATTCTATATTTATTTATCTATTTATTTAGTTATTCCTTGATGGATTGTATTCCTCACTTTGCCTTATTTTATCTCTCGTTTAGATATTTTTCATTCTAGATTTTGGGCATTCTGGGACGGACCGCTTGACTAATTGTCTAGTTCTGCATGCCCCGTTGAGTTGCTTAAGAGGTATTTAGTTATGTTTAAGGTACCCTCTGATTCCAAAGATTTTATTTTCAGGCCCATTTCTAAAGGGAAGGGCTCTTGTAAGCTTGTTGACCCCGATAAGCCAATTAGTTACTCTACTATCAGAGGGCCTTTTCGCTGGGACCTTCAAGGTCTCGGAGTTGAACCGTCCAAGTTTGGTTTGCATTCTCTAAGATCTGGAGGAGCCACTATGGTAGCAAATAATGGAGTAAACGACGGGGTTTTCCAACGACATGGTCGTTGGAAATCGGTACAGGCCAAAGACATACGTAGACGATAATCTTGAACAACGACTCGAAGTATCGCGTTTTCTTGGGCTCTGAGGGCGGTTTCGTGTTCTTTTTAGGGGTATAATATCACCTAGCCTCGTGCATCTTACCCAATTCTTTGTCAGTCTATATATTCCTCGGGTTGGTTCTTGGCAGGCTTCCCTGAATGAACTTATTTGGTGTACACTACTGTGTTATCTGTTGTGTAGTGGAGACTAAATCTATACATCAGAATAAAGCTGAACAAATGCGGTTTTTGATAAAAATGATTTTAGCGAGTTTTCTTTTCAGGAAGTGTCAGGAGCCTTTAAGACGTGAAACGACCAAGAGTTCTTCTATTGAATTTATCGGGTCGGATGCCACTGCACAAGAAAAATGGCTGGACAGTCTTATCCACAAGTGTTTTTTTTTTATCAAGGACCTTCTTCTGCTTTTGATTTTTCCAGAGCAAAGAATTTTCCATAAGAAAAGAGCTTTCATGTGTAAATTTTGTCAAGTGCGTCATGTAAACAAAATATGCAAATAACATAAAAAAATGAGCGATGGCCGCGAAAATTCCCTCAGGGGACTCGTCCAGGTAACGAGATATGACACCTTCCTGATTTATTAATTTTTATCAGAAGTTACATTTTTCCAAAGAACTCGGAGCTTTTGGATATTTTAAACTCTTTCTCTTGGCAAAGTTAGGTAAAAAGTTTGAGGTAAAATTTCCGCACAGCCCCATACTATATTATGCATTCAGTTCTTGCATAGAGAAAACAATGACAAAAACAGTACATTGCCATTGGGAAAACAGATTTGTTTTACAATAAGTTGGGGCTGTGCGGAAACTTTACCAAGTTTGAATTCTTTTTTTTTTTTTTTCGGCCTCTGAAGGTAGGAAGTAACCTTGAAACTGCTGATATTCAAAGCTGCTCCGAAAAGTACGAAATATAAAAATAAGATATTTGGCAAGAATGTGGTTTAACTTCTTGCATTACGTAGATGTAGATGTTCTTGTGTCCGAAAAGCACAAAAAACAAACAAACAAAACTTTCTGTCAACGTGCAATGTGAAAATAAAGAAGGGTTATAAATAAATATTTAACTATATGCCTTGCCAACATGGGAATTAAAGTGGGCTTAATGTTACCTTTGTCTCTAATGTAAATGAATTGAATAACGTTATCTAACAGACTAAAATGTAAATTACGAATAACTGATATAACTTGTTGGTTCAATAATTCTCGCCTCTCTGTTCAACTTGCGAGCGGACTCTCGTGTTTGTGCCCCTGGCACAGCTACCTGTAACACCATTAGCAGCCCCCTATGGAAAAAATTGTACCTCGCTACGTCTTGTCGATCCAGGAAAGCGGCTACCTCTTTACTTTGGGCTCAGGCACAAGCTGAAAGCTGACTGCACTAGACTATTTCAATTGACTTGCGCAATTTCGCGAAGTTGTGTCAACGACGAAAAAGACCTTCTCTGACTCGGTCTCTAGCCGTAAGAACACTAAGGGGACTGACCAGCTCGATAACTTCGGTTTTGTTCACACCAAGACACCTTCAAAATCAGTGGCACTGCCCGTTTGCGATCGTGTGATGTCGTTCTCATCAATAACTGCTTTTGCAATCATTGCTATTGTTTCATCCCAAACTTCCTGGAATGATTTAGAACAGCTTCATCCATTCTTGTTTTTCAACGAGAAAGATATCCCTAGTCTCCAAGAACGCGCGCGAACTACTCACTCTGAAATTTCTCAAAGGATCTACTTGGCCAGTCAAGAGATAAAAGAATGGCCTGAATATTATTTACCACCTGAAGATTGGAAAAACTTCTCTAGCGCTTGGAACGAGCGTTATGGCAATGACCTGACTGCGTTAGCTTTCTACTGCGTTCTCAATCCAGAGGATCTCAAGGCGACAGAGCTTGCAATTCTGTTTATGGAGCGACTTTCCAATCTTCCCAACTGGCGCGTCGCCGATTCATTCCATGACGATGTCCCCGTAGCCCACTCTTTAACCGGCATGGCGACCGCATATGACTTTCTGTACTCACGTTTAAACGACACTCAAAGAACTCGGTTCTTAAAGAATATAACGGCAGTGACAGAGGAATTATACGAGAGATCTTTCAAGCTTTGGTGGGGGTTTTCTTATCTTCAAAATCACGTAGCCACAAACTATATGGCGATATTTAATGGCGCCTTGATTGTCACCCGACACAAGTTGTTCGAGGGGGAGAAATGGTTGTCACGAGCTCACTTAATGTTAAGTAGAAACTTAGAGCTGTTTAACTTCGTAGTGGACGGCTCCATTAACGAAGGTGTTTATTATGGCACTTACACTACACGTTCACTAACGCAGTATGTGTTCCTTGCGTTACGCCACTTACTTGTAGACTTCACGCATTCCCCTTGGCTCAAAGAGCACGCGTCGCTTCTTTATCATACGGTGCTCCCAGGGTTCAGAGAAACCGTTGGCTATGGCGACTCCAATCGGAACTGGTCTCACGGTCCAGAAAGCCAGTTAGTTTTCCTAGACAACCATGTTTTGAGAAGTGGCTTGGGAAATTGGCTGGCCAGACAGATAAGAGAGCACAAGGTTCAAATGGAAGGAGTGAATAACTATAGTCAAGCGGCGTCACACCAAAAAAGCATGCTCCACACAGAGTTCTTATTCTATAATCCTGATATTCAAGAGAGAGCACTACCCAACCCAAGCATGCCACGACTCCACGTGTTCAGTGACTGGGGAGTGGTAACTTACGGGGGGGGATTGGACATATCTTCCGGCGATAACTTAGGTAGTCCCTGGGGTAAGAAGAGAACATTTCTTTCCTTTAAATGTGGGGTGCTTCACGGACGAGCGATAAACTCTCTTGTTAGAGAAAAACACGTTCGATTTTGGCTAGAACGACGGATACGTTTCAACCCTGGCCATGAACAGCCGGACCAAGGATCATTTGTGTTTGCCCCAAATGGTGTACCTTTCATTACGGAGACCTATTACGCCTTCAAGTACACTTTCCTTAATAATGCTCTGATATTCGGTCCCTCCCAACAGTCATCTTGCTACAAACCCTTTGAGGGGCAGATAGGAGAGTGTAATGAGTGGTTTTATTTTAAAACAATGGCAGCCTGGAGGGCCAAAGGAGATATTATATCTGCGTCAAGAGAAGATGATATGGTTTTCATAAGCGGAGAGATGAGTGGGTGGTATCGACAAGAACTGGGCCTTCTTAGTGTATATCGTTCCTTGATTATGTTGAATCCAAGTGTGCTCCTCGTGGTCGATCATATCGAACGCAAAATAGGAAGTCAAGCATCTGTTATGAGCGCCTTCTTTCATAACGTGGATCATCCCTTTAT